CGTTTGAGTATTGGAGACTAGGGTTCCTCCAGTTCCCTCTGTTCCCGGAGATGAGGGCTGAGGGCTGGAACCTGGTCCAGGAAAAGTGTGGAGGGAGGATTTTCTAGAAGTTTAAGGTCAAGGACTCAGACACACACACCCCTGCCTGGAGTGTTAGCTGAATTCTCTGTGCAGTTGAAGGTTAGCTATTTTGTTGTTAGACATTCGTTGTGGTCCCACTGTCTAGTCAGTTACCACCACCACCACCTCAGGGAGGGGGGGAGCATCTCCCTGCAGGAAGTGGGGCTAGTTCTTTGGTATCCCTAGGCCCCCACCCCCCAATGGCCCTCCATGGGAAAGAGCTACTGGCTGACAGGTGGGCTTATATACTTTTCCTCCCTTGCCCCTAGCTTGCTATGGCATCGTCCAGGTGCCAACTGGACCCTGGTTTTGCCGGAAATGTGAATCTCAGGAGCGAGCGGCCAGGGTGGTGAGTTTGAGACTGCCCCTCACCCTTTCACCACCAGCCACCTGTCACTCACACACCTGAGTGGCTCCTCCTGGCTAAGTAAGAGACTGTGGCTGAGACTAAGCAGGGTGGCCCTTAGAACTTCCTGTTTCTAGCACACCTAGGTCCTCCGCCCATCACTCCCACAGCGCATCGCATCCTTGGCTCCGCCCCAACTCAGAAGCTGCTCAGCCTTTCTGTTTGTATTTGACTGTTTGAACTTTTTATCATGGAACATTTCTGACTCGTACTTAAGTGGAGGGAATCTTATTAAGGAGCCTTATGCCCCATTGCCCATCTCCAGGAAGTGTCCCTTGATGGCCAATCCTGTCTTCCCTATACCCTCACCCATTCCCCTGCCTCTCCCCCTGACATCTTATTTCTTGGGGCCCCTTGAAGGTGGTTTGGGGAAGGCTTGGCCCAAGCTCCTTTTGAAGAACCCCTCCCCTTGCAAACTCCTGTGCCTCCTTGCCTTGGCAGAGGTGTGAGCTGTGCCCACACAAAGATGGGGCATTGAAGAGGACAGACAATGGAGGTGAGGGGGCTCATCTCCCCAGGACAGCAAGGCCCCCAGAGCAGGGGTGCACTGAGATTGGGGGTGGGGGTAGATGATGGGTTGCCCTTCCCTGGGTGACATTGAAATCTGATGGCAAGGTTCTGGAGGAGGGCCCTGAGTACCTCCTTGGGGCGGTGAGGGGCGGGCCTCTCAGGCTGGCCCTCTTCAGCTGAGGCCGGCCCCACACTGCTGCAGGCTGGGCCCACGTGGTGTGTGCCCTCTACATCCCAGAGGTGCAGTTTGCCAACGTGCTCACCATGGAGCCAATTGTCCTGCAGTACGTGCCCCATGATCGCTTCAACAAGGTCAGTGATCCCTGCCATGAGTCCTTCCCAGCCCCCTCCCTCAGCCTATTCTCGGATCCCTTCAGCTCTCTTCATCCCATGTAACTTTATCCCCGCCCATGACCACTTTCAGGGCCTGCATGAGGTTGGTGGGCACCTGCCACTGAACCATCGACAGGCAAACACACATGCACTCATGCTCTATACCACGAGCAAGCTAACAGGCTCCCTGGCAGAGGGGGGACCTCAGCAAGTATTTCATTCATTCTTTCACCGATCATCTTGGACCACGTGCTGGAGCAGCCCACCATGCTTAACTGGGGTGCAAGTTATGTCTTTCACTCGGACTGTCCTGCTTCGGGGCACACCTGCTGCCAACCTCATCTCTCCCTCAGCTGGTCCTGCTCCCCTGGGGGACATACATTCTTGGTGTATGTACGTGGTGGTGGTGGTGGTGGGATTGTAAATATCAATAAACAGTCGATGCAAAGTGTAGTAAGGTGGTAAGAAAACAAAGAGGGCTCTGAAATACAGCATCCCTGGTGGGTGGGTGGGTGTGGGACGGGTGGCTCACTTAAGATAAAGTCATCAAAGAAGGACAGGAGCCAGCCTGGAGGAGGGGGCTGGAGGCTCCGAGTTCGAGGCCGAATGAACAGCAGTGTGCAGATGCCCAGAGGCAGGACTAAGTCCCTCAGCCGGGCAGACGCAGCCGCTGGCCTGGCAGAGCTCACTGCCCTGGACGCAGACTCGGATCGAGTAGCCAACATCCACAGGGGGCTCTTCGCCCCAGTTCAACACCAGGAAAACTCCAGTGCCTCCATCCCACCTCCACTTTTCAAGTACTTCTAGCCCTCGGGGCTGGTGAAGCTGGTAGCGCCTGGATGGGGCAGGGCTGGTTATAGAGCATTCCGTCAGAAAAAGCCCTGTTGGACGGCACTGATCCAAGACCACTGGGAGGGGTGGGCATCGGAGAAAGGCGGAAGGATCCCTCGGGCAGAAGGTCCAGGTAGGTGCCCTAGGAGGCGGGGACCATTGCTCTGTGTCCTGCAGACCTGTTACATCTGCGAGGAGCAGGGCCGGGAGAGCAAAGCGGCCTCCGGAGCCTGCATGACCTGTAATCGCCATGGATGTCGACAAGCTTTCCACGTCACCTGGTGAGATGCCGCCCCGGAACCGAGGCCCCAGCCAGGTCTCCCTCACTGCTGCCACCTTAGTGATGGTGGACACTGCTTCCTCAGCTGGTCTTGGCTCACCCCAGCAGGGCTTCATGAGGGAGGTGGCCGGGCTGAGCTGGGCTCCTCTCAGGTTGCATTCTCCCGCTCAGTGCCCAAATGGCAGGCCTGCTGTGTGAGGAAGAAGTACTGGAGGTGGACAACGTCAAGTACTGTGGCTACTGCAAATACCACTTCAGCAAGATGGTGAGTCGTGCCTGCAGGGCATCACTTGGTCAGTTGGCTAGCTCCTGGGTACAGGGTGGGCTCTGGGCCAGGCCAGGCGCCTGGTGCTGGGAAGGCAGAGATGGGCAGGACCTGGCCCTGCCCTTGAGGAGTGAGCCATGGCTGAGGAATAGAGTGAACCTGGCCTGAGGGGCTAGAAGCAGTGGAACCACACAGCCATTCCCGTCAGTATTGGGAGGGCGCCAGGGAGATGCCTTGAACCTGAGGCCTGAGGGGGAACTAATCATCAGAGCCAACATCGGTTGGGGTTTCCCAGCCTGGGAAGGAAGGGCCCTGCTTGCGTCTTAAAACAAAAACAAACTCACCGCTACGGAGTTGAGGTCCACTCATAATGATCTGCAAGGACCGGATAGAACGGCCCCTGCAGGTTTCCAAGACTGTCACTCTTTCTCCCGCGGAGGGGCTGGTGGCTTTGAACGACGCTGGTAACCCACCCGGCCACCAGGCCCCTTGTGTGTCCACCTCCCAGCAATCCTGAGTCAAGCACGCACTGAGTAAACCGAGGCCCCTGGAGGCACGGAGCTCAGCTGGTGTCGGGTTCAGAAGGGGCAATCTGCTCACGAGCCTGTCCCACACAGACCGAGAGGAGTACAGTCCAGGCAGAGGGACCAGCACGGGCCCGAGGCTGGAGAGGAGAAGCCACAGAAGCGGCTGGAAAACATGGTGTATATGATGGGAGCAAGGCAAGCGAGGAGATGAAATGCTTAGCCACACCAGATCCCTGCTGTCTTCTGCCCCTGGCTTTTGGGGGTCCCCGTTTTTAGAGAGGCTACGGTGTCCTAAAGAGGTCAGCTGCCGCCTGACTGGGAAGCAGCTTGGCCCTCACCCCCAGGCTGCAGGCTGCCCAACTGTTTGTGAGCAGGGGAGGAGGTTGATCAGATTTGTGTTTTAGGAAGATTACTCTGGCAGCCTGGGAGGCTGGAATGGGGGGGGGGTGAGTGTGGGGGGGAGCTGAAGCTGGCGTGGGAGACAGCTGCGAGAAGGGAGGGTGCTGGCGGGCAGAGGTAGACTCACAGACTATTTCTGGGGAGACGAGGGTGACACGCAGACTCTAGGCTCCAGCCACTGAGTGGCTGGGGCATGAATCCCTGTGGGCACTATGACCAGGAAGGGCAGCTAAGCTTCATTCCCGTGAGCAAGTGTCCTGCTTGCCCGGCTGCCTGGGGCCGTGCCTGCTGCCTGGTGTAATTATTAATAGCTCCACTGTTTGTTTTATTAAAGCCGCCTGCTTTGGAGCCTACATTTGATGGCCACCCTTGGTTCTTGGTCTGATGCCGGGGTGCTCAGCTTGGTTTATAAGAGGCACCAAGTGGACCTACCCAGGCTTGAGGATGTCACTTTGCCCATGCCCACCACCATGGGGGTGGCACTGGCAGCCCCAAACTAGTAAGGCCAGGCTTGGGGTGTCCACATAGGCAGGGTGAGGCAAGGGGTGTGGAGGGGCAGAAGACAGGCGGTCCAGAGCCCAGCGGAATGGGAGGGCTGAGTAGGATTGGTTAGATACAGCCTGGAAAGAGCCCTTGGTTTAACCATCAGGAGGTGCTTGGTGACCAGACAGGGAGCTTGGGACCAGGGAAAGCCATTAGCCTGAGCATGGAGGCCAGCATGAGTTTTGTGGTTGACCTTTGCTTCCCCCAAGAAGCACAGTGTGGCTTAAAAGCAGATGGACCCCTGGGGAAGGGCCGGGCCTGGAAGGAGGGCAAAGGGGTGGTGTGTGGAGCCAGAGGAGACATGACCTGCAGGAGCCGGGACTCTCCACCCCTGGCAAGGAAGGAGAGATGGGCTCAGGAGGTGCCCTGGAGAGAGGGGCCATGGAGAGCAGGCGTCCTGGGCTCTGTCCATGGTGCGGTCGGAAGAGGGAGACAAGTCCCTGCCTCCTCCTGGCCTGGGTTATCAAATCAGTGATTTGGTTAAGTCAGCTTGGGGTTTCCAGCATCTGACAGTCCCCTCCTGCTGAGAGAGGAACCTGGTCCACACAGGGTCTTCCTTCTGATGGGGAGGGTGGAAGGGCAGGCCCGAGGGTCATGTGACCGCCAGGGACCTTTCCGTACTCTAGTGAGAGGCGGATTTGGCCATCCCTTTCCTTCTCTCCCCCAGAAGACATCGAGGCACACTGGCAGGGGGACAGGAGGAGGAGGAGGAGGAGGAGGAGGAAGCGGCGGCACAGCGGGCAGCGGCAGTGGCTTCATTGCTGGCCGGAGGAGCCGGTCAGCCTCTCCGTCATCGTCCACCCAGCAGGAGAAGCACCCTGCCCACCATGAGAAGGGTCAGAAGAAGGTAAAAGTCTCCTCCTCTGCCCCACCCTCACCCAGTCACACACCACCACACACGCCTGTCAAGAGGTGGCCACGGGTGTCCCTGAGGGCCCCCTCCCTTCCTCAGAGACTCCGAGGGACAGGAGGGGCCCAGGAAGTGAAACCTGACACCCCAGGGGCCAGAGGTGAGGGCCTGGCTTCTCTGGGTCTGTGTAGTTCCCCGTGCCCTTCCCCTGGCAGGGGAGTGTCCCTAAAGCCCAGCCTGTTGGCCCATCTCACCCTGTCATTGTTGAGCCGAGTTCAGCCAAGTTTGTAAGTGTACCTGCCAGTGTCCCCACAGGCCACATGTCCCAGCAAGCCTGGTCCCCAGCGCAGCTTCATGTCCCGGGGTAGAGGGCCTTGCAGGCGCTAGTATGCGTGCATGCATGTGTGCGTGTGTGTCTGGTGTGATAACGGGATAGGCTATTTTTAGCAGGCGGGAAGGATGAAGGGGAGAGAACCTGTCTGAGTTATCTATAACAGAAATACAAGTGGGTGCCTGTAACAAACGAATCCATTTGCCGTTTAGGCGGCTAGAAGTCTGAATTCAGGGCGCCAGCTCTCGGGCGGGCTTTCTCTCTGCTGGCTCCTGAGGAAGGTCCTGTCCCTTCTGAGCTTCTTCCTGTCCCTGGGCATCGCTATTCCCCATGTCTGCTCTGTTCTCTATTTACTCTCTTAGATCTCAGAAGAGATTGACTCAAAACACACACACCCCGTAACACTAATCCTGCCTCATTAGCATAGCGACGACAATACATTCCCAGATGAGCCCATACGCACAAGCAGAGAGGTTAGGATTTACCACATATAATTGGGCTGGCCCAACGACACAGTCTCAGTGACTCAGTCTCACATCCTGTCTTGGCCACATGCAGAAGACATCCTATCATCCTCAACGTGTTAAGCCAACTCCAAGTCCAAAGGAGTGACCTTCTTCAGAGTCCTCTGAAGCCAATGTGGGTGAGACTTTAGGTGGCTTCCATCCCGGGAGCCTGGGAATTCTAGAATAACAGGCTCCCTGCTTCCAAAGACGATGGTACTGTCGGCAGGTAGAAAGTTCCACTACAAATGGGAGCAATCGGAGGGAACGATGGATCGGGCACCAAGCAAGCCCCAAACCCAGCCGAACAGTTTCCATTCGCCCCCAGGGCCGGAAAAGCATCCTCTGCTCTCTGAGACCACCTAGGCAGTGGTCCACCCTCTGATCCCTGGGTGTTGGTCAGGCCCTTGATTCTGAGTGGAGGCCCTGTGGCTCTGGGCTTCAGAAGCTCTGCCTTCCAGGTCCACTGAGGGCACCTCTGCTCCTGTGGCTTTGGGCAGTCCAGTTCTCCTAGTCCATCTGAGTAGAGACCCCATCCCCTGAGCCCCAGCAGGACCCGCTCTTCTGCCCCCCCCCCTTTGGGTGGCAGCCTCACCTCCCCACACTGGGGCACAGTCGTCGCACACTCTGCAATCGAGTTGGGGAAGATCTGGCTCTATGACAGAAGCTGTGACCTCACCCTGTGATGCTCAGCGGGCCCAGGGTCTGCCCTTTAGAATCCAGGCAGCCCTGCTTCCCCAGCTCCTCCAAACAGCTGACTGGACGCCGTGTGGCTCCAAGGATGGCCCTTGCCTTTTCCTGGAGGACAGCAGATGCGGCTCCTGTACCCCGTCACGTTCTCGCTCCCCTGCAGTCTGAGCGGATGCGTTTTCTGCTGTGGGACTCTGTGAGCCCTCTTCTCTCTTTGAAACAGAGAGGAGGTGGGCCACATTCCTAGCTGAGGATTCTAAGACCACGTGCCCTTCGCTGGTTCCACAGTTTCCCAGCTCTTGGAGTTAGGTGTCCGTTGCGCACGGCTCATCTTTGCGCCTCCCTCTTCCTTCTTGAGTTTTGCTCTGAGCAGAGGGGAGAAGCGCAAGGCCCCGCCCGCTCGTGCACTGCACTCATCAGCTGCACATCCAAGTCCACCGCTTCCAGGGTCTACCTGGCACCAGACAGCAGCACAGCATCCAGACAAGTTCTCCGCCACCCCATGGACCAAACGTGTGTCCATCGCCTTGAACCGAAGCACCCGGAAAGTCCGTATTCCCAGCTGCACTCTGAGCCTGGCACCTTATGCATTCTCTGCGATGCCCTCGGGAGCGCTCCTCCCTGCCTCCCGAGCCCAGAAATGCCTGTGCCCTCTATTTTTCTACCATCAGCCTCATCAAGGAAATCCAGCCTCTGACCCTTAAACCCTTCCCGCCTCTACCCATGACCCTGTCCGAAACCTCCTTGCGCGTGTTGAGTGCTTGGTAGAGCAGTATGCCTCCCCCTTCTGTCATCTGGTGTGGCTGTCAGAAATAGCATGAGGGAGGGACCTTAGCAAACGCATTTCTTTCCTGGCAGGCAGTTCGGGGGCTAGCAGTCTGAATGGAGGGTGTCAGCTGGCTCTAGGGGTGGGCTCTTCTCCACTAGTTTCTCTGCCTGTGTGATCTTTGTGGGGCCTGGCCTCTCTCTGCCCCACCTCTGTAAGACTTGCTTGCTTGTCTAATCTCTCCTATGTCTCAAAAGACATTGGCTCAGCTCATTAACATAACAGAACCACCCCTTCCCCCAGGGGAGGAAGGTGCCACTCCTGTCCAGCCAGAGTCCCCAGTTCCTCCACAGAGAGGGCTCCCTGGAATACCCATCGCTGAGAGGCCAGCAGCTCCCCATGGCCAGCTGTCACATTCAGTCCTCACCCGAGCAGCTCCAATAGTATCTGGTCGCCTTTGCCTCCTCAGAGCCGAAAGGACAAAGAACGCCTTAAACAGAAGCACAAGAAGCGGCCTGAGTCACCCCCCAGCATCCTCACCCTGCCAGTGGTCCCCACTGCTGACAAGGTACTGCTGCCCACATCCAGGGAGGGTCTGGGCCTGTCCCCCGGGGAGAAGAGAAGGAGGAGGCAAAGCCTGAGGGGCTGGGGTGGGCCTGGGACCTGGGTGTCTTACCTGGAGCTTCAGAGTAAAGTGACCACCCCTCACCACCTCTCCCGGCCCCGGGTTGCGGCCCTCCAATCACTGACCATGAGGGTGGGCTGGCTGGAGGGTACCGCCCAGACTGCTGGCTGCCAGATGTTCACATCGGCCTCAGCCCACAGCTGTCCTCCGCAGAGTGGGGTACAGCCCTCAGGCTGGTTCTCCAAGTTCCTGGGCCCATTCCCCCAGAGACAGAGAACCCCTTGGCCCTCAACCCTCCCCTGCTGTCAGGAAGAGCCCAAAGCCTGTCATCTTTCCCACCCCATGCCCCTGGGACTGTCCTGGTCTTGTGACCTGAGGGATAGGCTCTTACCCTGGACCCATCCTAGCCCTCCCACTGGGGCATGGTACACCAGGCCTGTCTCCAGAAATGGGCACCATCTGGGTGAGGAACCAGAAGGCCCAACCCTGGGCCAGGGAGTCTTTAATGCAAGCCAGAGCCACCCTCCCTGGAGCCTGCCCTCCCCAGGAAGGAAACTGGAGAAAATGCTCCCTCCTGTCTGCCCCATTCCCTTCCACCCCCCAGCCCCCCAGACAGTGGGCAGAGCCCTGGGCATCTTAGCAGGAGGTGCAGGTATCAGGTTTCTAGGGTGATGTTGCTGTGGCAACTGCCCCAGTAGGCCTTTCTGTCCTCCCTGCTTCCCAAAGGCTGACCTGGGAAAGCTTGCTATCCAGGCATTCTGACCTTTGGGGTGGGGGCACAGCCCTGCACCAGCTCTGCAAGGCAGGTGGGGAGGGATCCATTGCTATGGGAGTGCCCCCTCCCAGGGCTGAGCGGCCCCTTGGACACGTCAGAGCCAGAGCATTCTGCCCAGCGCCTTCCCCTGCCCAGCATCTGAGCTGCCCTTCCCCCCAGCCCCTCTCCCCTCTTGCTCTCAGGACCACATCTGGCTCCCTGCAGAACTCCAGCTGTTGAAAAGAACAAAGAGGAAGATAGAGACCAGGGCTCCACCCAGGGAGGGGCATGCAGGGTGGCTGGTGCACCCCCCTCCCTTAGTATTTGTATATTCAGGACGTGGGGAGGTCCCTAGAGCCTGGGCCTGGCCCTGGGAGCTCTGCTGGAGTAGGAAGTACTCACTCACTCACACATGCCAGGCTCTGGAGGCAAGAGCAGCGGGTAAAAGGGCGACACGGGGGGGATGGGGTGGGGGATTAGCTTTTGAAATTTCAAAATCACCCAAAAGAGCCGGTGCATGACTAACCCCATTCATTGAATGGATGAAGAAGACGCTGAGCCACCGAGAGGTTGCCTCAGGAGTTGAGATCGGAAGCCAAGGTGTCTGCTTGGAGGCCTTGGGCTGCTAACCGTCACAACACACGGTCCCTGCAGTGGGTCAGTGGCAGGAGTCACAGTCACCCCCCTGGATTGACCCCACAGGAGCCCTGGTGGCATAGTAACTATGCGTTGATCTGGGAAGGGAGTTAGTCTTGGAAACCCACAGGGTCACTCCTACCCTGTCCTATTCCGGTCCCTCTGAGCTGAAATGGACTTGATGGCCGTGGGTTTGTTGGCTTGATTGATCTCATGCTCTGTAGAGGGCAGTGCACTGCTTATAAGCCCCACCCTACCCCTCAGGCAGATGAGCCCTCCCCAGGAAAGTGATGAGGCTCCTAGAGCTTGAGGCTTGCCCATCTGTCTGGGGCAGCATGGCCAGCCAGGTTCCAGCTCTGGTCTGTCCCACTCCAGAGTCCATGCTCCTTGAGGGGTCACTGGCTGTGGACTAGGGCACAGGTCCTCCCAGGACAGTGTGTGGCAACTGCTGACATGGCAAACGTGGCACACAGTGCCCTGGAAAGAGGAGGCCAGAGTGCCTTCTGCCATTCCATGTATCCAGGGAGGCTTCACAGAGCTGCCATTCCATGTATCCAGGGAGGCTTCACAGAGGAGGTGGCCAAGAGAAGCCTCCCTGGAAGGATAAAACTCGGTCAGAGAATGAATGGGGAGTGGGCCACGTGGTAGCAGCGGGGGGGCCAGGGAGCTGGAGGGCCAAGGAGGGCAGGGCAGCAAGAAGCCCATTCTCCCTGTGGCTTCTCCTGCCCATGGTACTTCCCAGCTCAGGCCCAGCCCTCTTCAGCCCCCTAGATGTTTCCTGAATCAATCATCAATGCACACACGAAGACAGCAGTACCAACTCCAGGACTGGTTTTCTCTCGCCACTGTCCAAATCATCTCTTGAAAACAAAGACAGATACCTTCTGGGATTCACTGCTCTCCCCTCTCCTTCAGAGCCAGAAGTCTCAGCTCCCCACATGCAGGACACCCCTGGCTCACTCTGGGCTCTCCCAGTTGAACCTGGTCCCAGACTTGCTTCCTCCACTCCATTCCCTGGAAGGCCTGAGAGTCTTCTCTCTCCTCCCCATCAGGTCTCCTCCTCTGCTTCCTCCTCCTCCCACCATGAGGCCAGCAGTCAGGAGACCTCGGAGAACAGCCGGGACTCCAAGGGGAAAAAGTCTTCCAGCCATAGCCTGAGTCACAAGGGGAAGAAACTGAGCAGTGGAAAAGGTGTGAGCAGTTTTACCTCCACCTCCTCCTCCTCCTCCTCCTCTTCTTCCTCCTCTGGGGGGCCCTTCCAGCCTGCAGGTGAGTGTGGGGGTCCTAGAGGAAGCTGGGAGGGGTCAGCCTGCTGCCTTGAGCTTTCCCCACCAGCACTCTTTGCATCTCCTTGACCTCTCTGGTTCAGGATAAAAGTGGGGGAACCCACCCCACCATTGAGTCCTCTCCAAAGCCTCCCTCAGTCTCTCCCTCGCAGGGGTGGGGTGCCACCCCTACACCCCCATACACAGGCCTCCCAGCTACCATCACAGTCACCAGGGGAGGTCAGTGGGGTGGGAAAGTTGGTGGCAGAGACTTGGCCCCGGGACACAGGGACAGTCAGTGACCTGGCTGCTGCAGGAAAGCAGGCTGCCCCGCCCCTGCAGGGAGGGGAGCGGAGCCCTGAGGGGCCTGGGGTCTAGCTGCAGTTCTCTTTCCCCCTGCACAGCCTCATCCCTGCAGAGCTCCCCAGACTTCTCTGCGTTCCCCAAGCTGGAGCAGCCAGAGGAGGACAAGTACTCCAAGCCCTCGGTCCCCACCCCTTCAGCCCCGCCCTCTCCCTTGGCCCCGGAGCCACCCAAGGCGGACCTCTTTGAACAGAAAGTGGTCTTCTCTGGCTTTGGACCCCTCATGCGCTTCTCCACCACGACTTGCAGCTCAAGTCGGGCTCGGGCCCCCTCCCCTGGGGACCCTAAGTCTTCTCATGCCTCTGGATCGGGGCCCTCGGCAGGCGCCCACAAACGGATGCCCACACTGAGCGCCGCCCCCGCCTCTGCTGAGGAGGTCCCGGAGACCCAGGGCCTGAAGGAGAAGAAGCACAAGGTCGGCAAGAGGAGCCGCCACGGGCCAGGCCGTCCCAAGGGCAGCCGGAACAAGGAGGGTGCTGGGGGCCCAGCCGCCCCCACCCTGCCTAGTGCCCAGCTGGCTGGCTTCACGGCCACAGCCGCCTCACCCTTCTCCGGAGGCTCCCTGGTCAGCTCAGGCCTGGGGGGGCTGGCCTCCCGCACCTTCGGGCCTTCTGGAAGCCTACCCAGCCTAAGCCTGGAGTCCCCCCTGCTAGGGGCAGGTTAGTGACCCCTGAAGAACGGGGAGGGGAGAGGTCGTGGCCCAGCCAGTCTTGTGAGGGGGCTAGAAACATGGCTAGAAAGCATTCCAACGAATTGGGATAAGGGATGGAGGTGACAGTCAGATTCCAGGCACACCCTGCACCGTCGATTCTCAACCTGTGGGTCGAGACCCCTTTGGGGAGGTCGAACGACCCTTACATAGGGTCGCCCAATTCAGAACAGTAGCAAAATGACAGTGATGAAGTCGCAAAGAAAATAATTTTATGGTTGGGGGTCACCACACCATGAGGAACGGCAGGCATTAAAGGGTGGCGGCATCAGGAAAGGTAAGAGCCACTGCCCTACACCAATCTTCTGTCCAGTCAGCAGGACTTAGCTTAGTTTGGGGAGCTGAATTCAAAAAGCCAGGAAGTCCTCAGGTCAGGTTGCCAGCCCAGTCGGCAGGCATGTCATCAAAGGTCACCCAGGCAAGAAGTGACATCTTTACAGGGAGACATTTGGCGGGAGGTGTGTCCTGACCAGGACTGTTCATACCCTCTATCTGTGTCCACAGGCATCTACACCAGTAACAAGGACCCGATCTCCCACGGGGGCGGGATGCTTCGGGCTGTCTGCAGCACCCCCCTCTCCTCCAGCTTGCTGGGGCCCCGGGGCACCTCTGCCCTGCCCTGCCTCCGTCGCTCCCCATTCACCAGCACCCTCCCCTCTTCTTCTGCTTCGATCTCCACCACTCAGGTGAGGCCAACTCCTGAGCCCCTCCTTCTGGGGGCTGGTGAGCTGCCTGCCCCCACTGGGCTTTCTCCCCACCAGAAGGGCTCCCTCCCCTACTCCCACATCACTCCCCTCTCCTCCCCCACAGCCCCAAGACACACAGTTGTGCCCTAGATCCAAGAACAACTGCACAGGACACTCCCTCTTCTCCCTCAGGTGTTTTCCCTGGCTGGCTCTACCTTTAGCCTCCCTTCCACTCACGTCTTTGGAACACCCCTGGGCGCCGTTAACCCCCTTCTCACCCAAGCCGAGAGCAGCCACACAGGTATGCCAGTTTCTGACCCCACGGAACCCCAGGAAGGAGGGGAGGGCTTTCTGGCTGCCCCCTCCCTCTGTCCACCTTGCCAAAAAAGTAACCTGAATCGTAGCACACCAGGGTACATCTTCACCTTAGAACCTGGTGAGGGGGAGGGCAGGGACCATCTCCAAAGATGACCACTAGGCATTGAGGTGGAGAATGGCAGAGCCAGGATCGAATTCTGGTCTGGTGCCCCACTTTTACTGACCCCTGCCCTTTTAGAAACCTCTTACCGCATCCTTGGGATCAGTGGTTACCAAAGATCTGCCCTGCTGGGCAACCTTCTCTGCAGGGATTTAGGAGTTAAAGGGGCAGTCCTCAAGCACCCTTCCCTCTCCCCGCCAGAAAGTCAGCCCAGCCCCAGAGAGCTGATTGGTAAGAGATGCCACCTGTCAGGCTAGAGGGCGGGGTTTGCTGATGGGCCTCCAGTTCAGGTAGGGCTTTAAAGAGCCCGAATCCAATTCTCCTTTTCAAAACCCAAATCAGCATCCTGTAGCCCAAGCCATCATGGCCTTCTGACTTGTGAGTTTATGAATATATATATATTTTTTTTAATTAAAAAAAAGTAATTAGACTAATAGCTACAATTATGAGCATGCTTCCTGTCAGCTAAATGCTACACATTTATTACCTTGGTGGAATTTGCCTACCAAGCACTTTTAGAGAAGGCAGGAGGTAATGTTCCCAAGGTCACAGAAGTAGTGAGTGTCAGGGCCAAGTTCAACCTAGGTCTGTCTTAACCCCGGATTCCTAGAGCCCTGAAGTTCCCTGAAGAGAGACTGAGAGGGGGTGGTGGTGGTGGTGGTCAGGAAGGAGCCCCCCTCCTAGAGAAAGAGGAAGCGATCGGGCCTTCCCACCCAAGGGACCAGGTTTCCAAGCCCAGGCTCCCAACGTTTTCCTCTTTGAATTCCTGGTCTGGGTTGGAAGTTCCTGGGCCAGGGGTCTGCGGTGAGGTCCCCTGTCACGCACCCACCCCTACCACCAAGAGGCTGCGAGATGGATGGCGCCCCTCCCCCGCTGACCCCAGCTCCTTCTCCTTCCAAGAGCCAGACCTGGAGGACTGCAGCTTCCGGTGTCGGGGGACCTCCCCCCAGGAGAGTCTGTCTTCCATGTGAGGGAGGGGGCAGCGGTTGGGGGAGGGCTGGGAGTGGGGGATGGAGGGCCAGGGGGGCAGGTGGGGGCCCAGGGGTAAGATGGAGCCCCTGGTGGGGGCAGGGAGCGGGAGGACCCAATGAGGGCTCCAGGTGAGCCTGAACCCCGTGTTCCCATCTGACCCAGGTCCCCCATCAGCAGCCTTCCAGCAATTTTCGACCAGACAGCCTCAGGCTGTGGGGGCAGCCAAATCGACCCTTCGGCCCCTGGGACCACCAACATGGAGCAACTGCTGGAGAAGCAGAGCGATGGCGAGGCCGGCGTCAACAGTGAGGAGGGGTGCTGCCCGGGACCCCAGCCCCCCAGAAGTCAGCAAAGGGCTTTAAGGGTCCGCCCCCAGGGTGAACTCTCACCCAAACCCGGGCCTCACCTATAACCCTTGGAGGGCTCTCAACGCTCACTGCCACCGAGGCAAGGCGACCTCCCGTGGGTTTCCCAGTAGAAAGCTTAGTCTTTCTCCAGCGGAGCTGCTGGTGGTTTCGAACTGCTGACCATGCAGATTGCAGCCCGATTTCCTGCCCACTCATCTCTCCCTTCCTAATGACTTGGACCCTCAGCCTCAAGCCCCACCTTCCTGAGTGCTCACCCCCTGGGTGCTCACCCTCCTGGACCCTCATACACACACACACACCCCGGACTCGCACACTCCCGATTGTCTCCAATCCAGGTGCACCCCTCCGAGCTCACCTGTCCCCCACCTCAGGCCCCTTGCCGCCCCGCCCACAGGGAGTTGCCTCTGCAGGGCTCCCCCGCCTGCCTCGGGTCCTCCGGCCCCGCCCCTTGCCCGCCCCGCCCCGCCCTCTCGGCGGGCTCCGCCTCACGCCCCCCCTTTGCAGTCGTGGAGATGCTGAAGGCGCTGCACGCGCTGCAGAAGGAGAACCAGCAGCTGCAGGAGCAGATCCTGAGCCTGACGGCCAAGAAGGAGCGGCTGCAGCTTCTCAACGTGCAGCTCGCCGTGCCCTTCCCCGCTCTGCCGGCCGCCTCGCCTGCCGCCAACGGCCCTGTGCCCGGCCCCTACGGCCTGCCTCCTCAAGGTACGGAGACCTCCGACCGGGGCCCTGCCTGAACTGTCCCTGCCCCAGCTCCTAAGCGCCCTCTCTGACCCCACCCCCAGCCTGCAGCAGCGACTCCTTGAGCACCAGCAAGAGCCCCCCAGGGAAGACCAGCCTTGGTCTGGACAACTCGCTGTCCACGTCCTCCGAGGTGGGCACGGAAGGAGGGAGCAGGGGGTGGGGTGGGGGCCACTAGGGTGATCGATCGATTGATCGCGGCTATTGGAAACTGGAATGCTGGACAGGAAGACAATTGGTTGAGCAACTGATTGGTCGATTGATTGGCTCCTTTCATCAACGTGCGAACTTAGTGGCTGGCACTTAGCTAAGCAGGAAATGTACGAAAGGGGCGCAGCTAGAGAGAGAACGGGTCCCACTGGGAGAAGCGCTAGGAGGGACTAAAGTGAGGGAAGGGGATTGTCGTTTTGTGGCGAGGTGGTTAGAGAAGGGTCTCTAGGAAGGGTTTGTGTGTGAAGGGCTTTTTATAGTGCCTCCCACAAAATAAGCCCTGTGTGATTGGCAGTGGTTAGGGGAGCAGTTGCTAGTGTTTATATTGTGGTCATTATTGGAACCAAACGCTTTTTGTTAGCTCCCTGTTCCTTCTTAAGTTATGTGATGGGGCAGGAATAATCCCAGTAGTAGCTGCCATTGATCGCCCACTTGGCCGTGCTGGGCCCCCGTGGTGAGAACTTCACAGTTGATTTAGTTAGTTGAACACTCTTAGCCCCCTGCAAGTGAGGGAATGGACACAGATGGGACCCAGGGGACACACCTGGCTGTGGAGGCGGGGTGCAAACCTGATCCCCTTCACTCCAGCTGCCAGACTTTGACTGCACTTCCCTAGCTAGTGCAGGAACCCATGACTCTTCCCTGAGCATCGGGATAGCAAGCTAACATAGGCCACATGCACAGCTTGGGGTGGGGGGTGGGGCCATGCCTTTGGGTCCTACCGTGGCCCTTGTCCCTGGTTGTTAAACACTGGTGACAGGGGTGCTGGGCCTGGCCCCTGGGAAGCGCTCTTCTGAGCTCTTCTCCCTTTGTGAAGGCTGTTTGGATTCTTCACCTACATTCCTGGGCCTGGCTTCTTTCACCAGGGGCCCTGGCCAGCGGGTGAGGCATGGGTGGCTGCCTAATGTGAGAATGCTGGTGGGTGCTGGGCCGGGGGCCAGGAAAGTCTGGCTGGCCCCTCCGCCCCTCTGACCCTCCCCTTCCCCCTCCCTTCCCAGGACCCACACTCAGGCTGCCCCAGCCGCAGCAGCTCGTCTTCGCTGTCCTTCCACAGCACGCCCCCACCGCCACCCCTGCTGCAGCAAAGCCCTGCCACCCTGCCCCTGGCCCTGCCTGGGGCCCCTGCCTCGCTCCCACCCCAGCCGCAAAATGGGTTGGGCCAGGCCTCGGGCACAGCAGGGTTGGGGGCCATGCCCATGGCTGATGGGCTGCTGGGAGGGCTGGCCGGCAGCGGTGCCCTGCCCCTCAATGGGCTCCTGGGGGGGCTGAATGGGGCTGCCACCCCCAACCCTGCAGGCTTGAGCCAGGCTGGTGGGGCCCCCACACTGCAGCTTCCAGCTTGTCTCAGCAGGTGAGGGGAGAGCTGGTCTTGGGGGAGGGAGGTGGGAGACTGGCTCCTGGAGGGACATGCCCCCTGCTCCCCCCCTCCCAACTCCACCTCCCAACAATGGAGAAATGCCCTCCCTCTGGTCTTGTTGGACAGAGGACTCTTGGCTCAGAAGGGGCCACCCCACCCTGGCCCCCTAGACTGTTTGAGCTGAGCGCCCCCCTGGATGGTGGCTGTCTAGGGCCCACATCTGCTGGCTCTTCTACCCCAGTCCAGGGTTTCTCTCTGGGACCCTCTGCACTCCATGAGCTTAGTCTACTCTTTTTTAGTTCTCTGAAATCTGCAGCTCCTGCCTCTCCCTTTGGGGGTTCTGAGAAGCCTGGGAGCCTGCTGGGGGAGGGATCAGGCGTGTTGCCCTGCCCCCTCCCTATAGTTGATGTCTTATGTGGTCTCCACCCCACCCTCAGCCTCACCGAGCAGCAGCGACACCTCCTTCAGCAGCAAGAGCAGCAGCTCCAGCAGCTGCAGCAGCTCTTGGCTTCCCCGCAGCTGACCCCGGTAATGCCCCACCCTCTGAAGCCCCCTGAGAGGCCCGCTGCAGCTCAACCTGCAGGGGCCCCTTTTTAGAGTATCTGGGGGGGGGTTGAGTGTCAGAAGGGAGGGAGGGAGAAACGTTCCAGGCTGGGCCCCCGTCAGGTGGAGGCAGGCTGAGGTTTGCTCCTAGGATGTCTCTCTCTCTCTACCATGGCCTAGTGAGAGGACTGAAGGGTGGCAGGTCTTCAGTTAGTAAGCATTTCTAGCCCCAGTGTCTAGAACCTTTGGGGAGGAACTTCCTGGTTGTGTGGGACTGGGCCGAGCAGGAGCAGCTAAGGGGTCAGTTGAGTGGTTTGCAGCTGGGGTCGGGCATGGGGGAGGCCACCATCCTGAGGACATAGCTAGTTGTCATAATGACCGAGGGACAGAGTCCCATGTCGTGGGGCTGTTGAATGAGACACATTTGCCCCACCTCCAGCCCCTCTGTTCCTGTGCCCTAAGTGAAGGGGAGACTTTAGAGACAGAACCCTGCCTGGCTCCCAGTCTCCTGCCTCCAAGGACAGGCTCTGAGCCGAACCCAGCAGGCCGGCCCTGGGAAGAGACCCTGGGCACCCACCCACCCCCTCCGCCAATGCCCCACTGGGCCCCTTCTAGGAACACCAGACCGTCGTCTGCCAGATGATCCAGCACATCCAGCAGAAGCGGGAGCTGCAGCGGCTGCAGATGGCGGGGGGCTCCCAGCTGCCCATGGCCAGCCTGCTTGCAGGGAGCTCAACCCCGCTGCTGTCTGCAGGCACCCCTGGCCTGCTGCCCACAGCGTCTGCACCACCCCTGCTGCAGGCCGGAGCCCTGGTGGCCCCCTCACTAGGCAACAACGCGAGCCTCATGGCTGCAGCAGCTGCGGCCGCTGCAGTGGCAGCAGCAGGCGGACCTCCAGTCCTCACTGCCCAGACCAACCCCTTCCTCAGCCTGTCGGGGGCGGACGGCAGTAGCAGTGGACCCAAAGGAGGGGTGAGTAAGGGCTCCCAGGCCTGCCTGCCCTTGTAGCTCTCCCCTAGGGAGAAAAGTCTTGAGTAGAGGTGGCTTTAGGGACATCCACCTCAGGAAGACCGAAGTCACCCCAGCGCAGGGAAGGGAGGCCCTCTCTTAACCCTCTGGCTGGTGCACGTGTCCCTGCCAGCTCCTGGGTGCCCTCCAACAGTCCCAAGAGCTAGGTGAGCTCAGGCTGCTGGGAAAGGGGCCAACTTGAAGATGGCCTTGCTCTGGGAAGACCAAGAGGAAAAGGCTGTTTACTTGCTCCCAGAGTCGTCAGAGAAAACCCCTCTGGTGGCCCCGTGAGAGAGGTCCTCTGAGGGCAAGCCCACACCCACGAGTGCTGGCCTTGACCCACGCATGTCCACTCAGCTGAGTGCCCTGGCAGGGACAACCTGCACCCTCCCCGTGGTGGGCCTGGGTGTGCGCCCACCAGAGTCTGCGCTCGAGTGTCAGCGGGCTCCAGTTCTGTCCCCAAGAAGCTGTTTCCAACTGGGGTGTCCAGGCCAGACACCTCCCCAAACCCCAGCGTGCCTTCCTCTCTTTGCAGACCACTGACAAAGGAGCCTCGGCTAACCAGGAAAAAGGCTAAATGTACTCCCACGCTTCCTGACCCCGCCCCCCCAGATGGCAGGGATAATCCTGGCCCGGGGTCCCAGGCTGGAGCAGGCACCTGCACCCAGACACTGGAGAGCCCTGGCCCACAGCAAGGGCCTGGGCTCCAGGAGCAATGAGCACCCCTGGTGCTGAGGACTGAGCGTGAGAGGGGGGCCCCTGACCCACCTGGACCCCTGCCCCTCTGCACTGGCCCCTCTGTAGGGACACAGAGGGAGGGTAGGCTCTAAGCCTGCCTCGAAGCTTCCACCCTCAGCAAATGTTTTGGGATTCCCCCCCCACTCCCCGAGAGTAAGGTGGGCTGTGGTGTAAGTGGGGTGGGGTGGGCGGCGCAGGTCAGTTAGCCCCTCCACCTAAATGGATCAGCACTTGAGTGGGGAGCCGAGGAGAGATGGTCCTGGACAGGCCTCACCCCAGCATGGGAGTTCTCTGTGGAAGAAGGTGTGGCCTGACTTTTCCTGCTGTTCTTTCTGCAGATGGCAAAAGGAGGGGTCTCCTGAACTGTCTCTTGTCACCTGGGCCCCCAACATGGGTCACAAGCTCAGCTTGTAAAAGCCTAGAGAAGTCGAGGGGCTGAGGAAGGAGAGTAATCTAACTTGGCCTATGTCTCCCCACTTCTTGGGCCCCTTACCGCCCATGAAGAGGCAGGGGGAGCCAGATGTGGGGAGACTCCCACTGTCCTTGGTGCCCTGCTCCTTGTTTGCACTATTGGGTTGAGGAGTGCTAGTGGTGGGGAGATGGAGCTGTGAGTCACAGCGCCTGTGTGTGTGTGAGTGTGAGTGTGTGCGTGCGTGCGTGCGTGCGTGCGTGGTACCTGCGCAGGAGTGTGTGTGCGCCGCGTGCCCTCTCGTGTGCTCTCAAGCCTTCCCGGAACCTGGGCCAGCTGAGAGCGGGGAGAGGAGCAATGGTCAGAAGAGGCAGGCAGCACCAGAGCGGGGAGTTGTCAGCTCTTGTTTGCACCCTCCCCACCTCACCAACTTTGGTCCCGGTATGGGGCATGAATGGTTAACAAAAACCAGAACAGTACTCCAATATTGGAGAATAACTGGGAGCCGGGGGCTTTGAATCAGGGTAATATCCCACCTTCTTGTCCCCGCAACCCCACTATATGGTCTCAGTGCTCCCTCAGGGACCCCTCCTCCACTGAGAGTCTGGTCCGGCTTCCCTGGCACAGGGGAGCTCCAAGTATTGGGGGAGGGGCCAGGGAGAGTCAAGTGTCCCTTCCCAAGGGAGCCTCTCCCAGAATCAGCCAGCCTGCCTTCCTGACCCCATCCCCATGTCACCGACCCAGAGCGAGCTTTTCAGCTGGCCTACGAAGTCTTCCCTCCCCCACCAGCTGTTTCCCCAGGGGTGTAGTGGGCATTTCTCACCCTTCACATCCCCACTGGCCTGGGGCCACCAAAGGCGAGGGGCCAGCCAGGGGCCAGGCCAGGGAGGGGCCAGGTTGACACCTTGTCTTCTGTTTCAGTTGCACTGGGCTTGGAGCGGGGAGGCAGGTGTCTGCGGCCGGCCCTCACGCTCTTGTCGCGTCGGTCTCTGCATGTGTGGACTTTCCTGTGTGTTTCTGTTCAGGTTTTTCTCGTTGTTGGGGTTTTTCTTTGTTGTTGTTGTTGTTGGTTTTCTTTCTTTTTTTAATAAAGAAAAGAAGATGTGTATATTTTTGGCAATGACAGAAACGTAGTGCAGATATATTTTTGCCTGTGCTGCTCAACTGGTTTTTTTCTGATACTGAAAATAATATTAATATTCCTGTTGATAAGACTTTGTAATATGTTGGGGAGCCGAGATTGGAGTGGGTCGGGTGGAAATCCTTCAGAGGCAATTTATTAGGCACTTGCAAGGGCGTGGGGGTGGGGATGGGGAAGGGGCAGCTGTGAGGACCACCTCCAGTAGACTCCGTTTTTATTCATGCTAAGTCGCAGTTAGAAAGAAAAGGTAACCGCATCGTATTCCACTAAGCTCCCTGCTCACAAGCCACTGGTGGGGGTGAGGTCTGAGAGGTGGAGATTCTTTAGAAGGCGGCTCCGCTGGCCCTGGCCTCAGAGGAGGCCAGCTGACTGAGAGCTACTCTGGCTGTTCTCCGGTGAAGGGAAGTGAGTGTGTTCCCCCACCACGGCTGCTGTGATTGAGAGTGAAAAAGCCACACGATTGAGTGCAATGGAGCCTCCCTTCCCCCAAGCATGTTTCTACCCCACCCCCACCCCTGAGAGTCTGGGGGTCTCATCACCCAGGCTGAGGTCTCCAGTGTCCCCGAGTGAGCCCTTGCGTTGCCCAGATTGGAACCGAAGGAGGGACTCGGGTTTGGCGTGAATTGTCCTTCCCCAGGCTCCCTTCTCAGGGCCATGAGACCACGGTTTCCTACTTTGGAGGGGGCTTAATGATAGGAAGAGTTTGGGAGCATCTTTCCTCAAGAGGGAACAGGGTACCACATCAAGAGGGAGGATGGCTATAATGACCCCACCTCCTCTCCCAGCCTCAGCCTCAGCCCCCTTCTGGGGAAGAGTGGTTGGGAGTAGGAGAATGGGGTAGATTTGGAGATCTGTCTGTCTGGGGGAGGGGGAGGATGTGGTTTGCTCGGAGGGAGAGCGGTAGCAGCATCTGAGTGCCAGGAGCTGTGGCGGAGTTCTCTCAAGCGCCCAAGTGAGAGGGGTCAGTGTGCAGACCCCGTGCCTGGCCTGGCGTGTGCAGTGTCACAGGTGGAAGCGGCGTGTCTAGGGGTAGTTGGAGCCAGGCTTCTCGAGTCACAGGGACAGCTCCAAATCTGGGTGTGCCAGGGGCCCACCGACAGAGCCAGAAGCAGCCCTCAGGACCTTGGCCTCCCCCATCCCTGAAGGCTGGCTGCCCCAGTGGGAGTGGGTGTGGGAGTGGGAGTGGGTGTGGGAGCGCTGGGAAGGCGCCTGCGGAGCCCACTTAGCTCAGAGCTGACGGATCCTCTCCTAGACAATGACACTTTAAAGGCTGCCTTTTGATTTGGTTTGGGGTTGTTTTTTTGTTTTTGTTTTTTAGCTGTATCTTAGTCTTTCCCATTTGTGGGTTTCCCATCCCCTCCGGCTCCTGGGCCTATTGCTGCCTTCAGGTGGCCTCCCCCCAAAACTAATGGGTACCCCAAGGCATCCTTCCATGCCCTTTCCTTTCCTATACGGAGGCTTCGGGACTCTGGTAGGACACAGGAAGGGCCCAGACAAGACAGGGGTGCAGCACCAAGGCCAGCTTTGAGGAAGGGTAACATTTCCCCCACACTGGAAACCCAGACAAGGTTTCAAAGGCTCAGTGCTCCCCTCCGGACAATTCCCAGCCTATTTCATGGTGTGTATGAAGTGGGGTGGGCAGAGCTAGGGGTAAGGAATATGTTCCCAACTCCTTCATCCCGAACTTCCTGGGGGAAAGGCACCTGAAAGGATTGAGGTGGGGGAAAAAAAGGATTGAGGTGATGTCTTTTTTTTTTTCGTTTTATTTAATACAGGGTTGTTTTCTTTTTAATTAAATACTTTTATTGGGGGCTCTTACATCTCATCACAATCCATACATCCATCCAGTGTGTCAAGCACATTTGCACACATACTGCAATCATCATTTTCAAAGCATTTTCTTTCTACTTGAGCCCTTGATATCAGCTCATCCACCACCCCCACCACCCCCGCCCTTGAGATAACTTCTTTAAGGAATCCATTGGAAGGAAAGTGGGGAACGGTAGCCCTGACACCTCAAGCCACAGACTCTGATTACAACCACTTTGTCTTGATCTACTGAAAAGTTGGGGACGGGAGGGTGTCCTCTTCCCATTCCCTCACCTCTCCCAGCTCATCTTGGCTCCTGGGGGGGAGACTGGGCTCCCAAA